CCGACCGGAGAACTGAGGGTCCCTCTTCTCTCTCTACCACCGACCGACCCAACCCCCTCCCTCGGTACTCGTGGGAACTCACGGCGGGGTCGAGAATCTCCCTGGGCGTGGTCTGCAGAGCCGTTTTCCCGAGAGACGGCTCACAGAATCGTCGGGAAGAGGCACCGCAGCCTGGAGCTTTTAGAAGGGATTCCCCAAACCAGGCAAATCTGGGCCACCAGGGAGGCGGGCCAGTCTGTGGTGACGTGACGCCTAGCGTGTCTAGAAGCTTCTTTTCATGTCAGCCCGTCACCACCAACATTGCTGGCTCCAGAAGCAAGCATCTTCTTCCGTCACCCACGCTGCCAACAAAGCCGCCGGCTGCCCCCAGCCAAACCCGGGGCCCAAACACCGGCCACACACGCCGGTGTAACTTCGGAGCCTCAGTGACGTCTGGACCGACCTGAAAAGCTGTGTGTGTCACACAATCGTTCTCTCTCCCACCTCTTCTCCACAGGCAGGCCGCCAGCGCGGGGCTGGGGTGCGGGGCGAGCCCCGGCGCCTTCTCCAGGGGGTGAGCCTGGCTGCTCTGCCCCCCCCCCCCCCCCCCGCCGCCTCCCTCCCTCCCTCCCCCTCGTCCTCATTCCCGCGACCTCCTGGGAGTCTCTCTTGCTCCCCATTCATCGCAGTGTCTGCGTCCCTGTATGTTTACTCGGCCGGGAGACCCTGTGTCTGTTTTCTTTCTCTCCGAGGTTGACTATAATCTAAAATACACATGAATTTTAGACATGTTTTAATACTTATTGGGAGTAATCTTCATGATTTTATTCTTCAGCTGAGACTTCGTGAGTTGAATATGTTCTATTTTTCTCTAGGAAAGCGCTGGGCTCAGTCTGTGTTTTTAAACGCCGATTTCGGGGTGGAGACCAAGGTGGGAGGAGCGCGGACTTGGGAGGAGGGGAGACCCAAACTCTGCCCCTCCCCGCGGCCTCGGCGGCCTGGGAGGGCAGGCGCGACGCCCTGGAGCGATGGCCCAGGACTGACCCAGACCCTTTAAAGACGCCCGGGAAGCGGCAGGTTTCCATTCCAGTCACGGACGCTGTAGCTGCCGACCCCCCACGCCCACCCACCCCACCCCACGCCGGGGCCGAACACACAGCACCTACGCTGCTCGGCCCCACTCCCCTGGGCCTTTCTTTGTGGGTCTGTTTCAGGACCGGAGAGGGGACCCCGACACCCAGTTCTCATCTTACATCCTTCAGCAACTCGAGCTTCCTCAGGCTCCGAGCAGACCCCGCGTGTCCCGAGGGCAGGCAGCGCCTTCTCCCAGGGCCGCCACCAGCCAACCCTCCACCCGCGTTCCTGGACGCAGACAAAGGTGCTTCCCCGGTGGTAGTGTTTCAGGGAGACATACACGTAGGCACTGATTGAGTCACGCACTTTAATCATCTTCCTGTGTCTGTTTGTCTTTTTAAATAAGGAGATTATGTCTGGCATCTTAATGAACTTGGAACCCAATTCCTCAAAACCTGTGAGGGCCGTGCCTGGCGGATGAGCATCTAGGCCTGCCTTCCCCTCCCGCAATGCCGAGGGGCGGGGGCGGGGGCGGGGGCGCGAAACGCAGCCGCTCGGCCTCACAGCGCCCCCCTCTGGGCGTCCAGGCTGCCCCTTTGGGTGCCCGTCACAGCTGAACGGCCACCGCCAGGTAAGCCGGTCCGGGGAGAGTGACGCTGCGCGGACGGCTGCAGACCCACAGCCGGCGCCGGTGTCCCGGTCTCCGCCGGCCACGCCGGTCCCTTGCAGCAGAGCACAGTGTCTGTGCTGGCTCCGCCCTGAACTCGCGGGGAGGATCTCGAATGACCTCCACGTCTGCGCGTGATGGCCACACTGGTAAAAGCTCCTGGAATCACCTCCAGGACTGGCTGGGCGTTTTGTGTCTGGAGCCGTGGGATGAATTCCACTGGGGGAGCTTCCAGTTGGGGGGTTTTGGTCTCCAGCAGAGTGGATTTTCTTGTTAAATTCAAAGGCACACCAGCCGTCTGCTGAAACCACAGTGGGGGGAGTCGCCGTGCAGTAGGGACGTCGTTACAGGGCGAGGCCTGGCATCGGATGGTCCTTGCCCCTGGGGAGGAGTCCATGTGCGGCTCCAGGTGCTGTAGAGCAGGGGGCCAAGCCGCACGGCGCCCTGATGGAAGCGCTTCGGGAGCCGTGCCTGTCGGACTCCGGAGTCAAGACTTCTGCTCCTGCTTCTGCCCGAACCTGGGTGCTGGCCAAGCTGCTTCCAGTCAGCAGCACCCGGGCCCCCGCAGCCTGCTCAGGCAGCGAGCCAGGCTTAATTAGCCCCAAACCTGCCCCCTGACCTTTCTTGGGGGAGATCCAGACGAGTTTATTGCCCTCATACATAACATTCAAGGGAACCCTTTAAAAGCCTCGCTGGACGGTGCGTCTGACTGCACTGCGTTATTTATCGCACCTGGGCTCCTTCTCCTCTTCCACACTCGGCCATCGGGGTCTCCTGGGAACACCTCTGCAGCGGGGGGACCTGGAGGAGCACAGTGACCACGAGGCTGACGGCAGAGCACATCTTGGCCACCGGCCTACAGGACAGATGACACCGACCTCTGTTCCTAAGCCCCGGCAGGACCAGGAAAGGAGGGACAGCAGGAGATGTATCGGCAGACGGAACCGCGGGTTCGGCCTGACCGGCCGTGTTCTGCTGTAGAGCAGGTTGACGCTGGGGGGGCGTGAACCCGCAGCAGCCGATGAACTGCAACCCCACCCTCGGGTCAGGGCCCTGGACCAGGGGAGGGTCCACTGCGGGGTCTGGCCACTGTCCTCTCCATCCCAGGAGAGCTCGTGACACCCGGGCGGCGCACAGGCTTGGTGTCCGTGTTTGTAAAAGGCTCTGGACACGTACCAGCCAGTCTGCTTTCCTAATATGTTAGCCCTTCAGGTTTCCACGATGCCTTTGACTGGGAAAAGGTAATATGAGCAGCTTGTAAATTATTAAGGTTTCCTTTCAAATGGAGACTCGTGTGGAAACTGGGTTTGCGTTTTCCTCGGGAGACTCGCCAACTGCTTCCTCCTCCCCGCGGGAGTGCGGCATGCAGAGTGGCGTCTCCGAGGTGGGCCCGCCCACGGTCCTTCGCCCAGAGATGGTATCGGCCACCAGGGTGGATTCCTGCAGCTCCTTTATCCGGGAGATCGATCTGGGTCCACCACGGGCCACTGGTGGGGGCCCAGCCGGCGGAGGTGGGGCCGGTTCTGCCCTCCTGGTGCTGACGCAGGACCTGGAACAGGGCGGGTTCAGGGGCGACGCAGGTGAGGAGCTCGGTGGCGACTGATGGTGGAAGCTGCTGGACCTTGGCGTGTTGAAAACCAGCAAACCTTGACTCAAATGTGTCCCACCCGGTCTGCTCGGCAGCCACCCCACTGGCGATGTTAAAACTGGAGAATTTCACTGAAACCCAGGTTTCTGGCTGCTTGTCGAAAGTGGGGAACTGTAGTGACACCGAGATGCGTGCCCACGTGGCCCAGACCACGGGACTCGGGTTTTCACGCGACAATATTTTCTTAGGTAGTGTGGACACTCCAGGTTTCCCAATACTTACAAAGCACAGGTTTCCACTTGGGCAATATTTTTCCTGTTGCAAAGAAAGTGACTGTATTCTTGTGCTTTTACATTCCATACAATTTTGTATTAGTTTCAGGTGTGCAGCGTGGTGATCAGACAACCATGCACTTTACAAAGCGAACCCCGATATTCCCAGCACCCACGTGGTACCACCCAGAGGAGCACTGAGTATGTCCCCTGAGTTGCGTTCATGCCCCTGTGCCCATCCTGTGACCACCAATCTGTGCTTCTCAGTCCCTCACCTTTTCCACCCAGCTCCCCGGCACCCTCCCCTCTGACAGCTGTCAGTCTGTTCTCCGTGTCTGTGAGTCTGTTTCAGTTTGTGCTTGTTAGTTTATTCTGTTCATTAGATTCCACCTATGAGTGAGATAATACAGTACTTGTCCTTCTCTCACTGGCTTATCTCACTCAGCATAATTCTCTCCAGGTCCTCCCATGCTGTCACAAAGGAAAGATACCTTTTTGAGGGCTGAGTAGTACTCCATTGTGTGAATGGACCACAGCAATCACCTACTAATGGGCACTTGGGCTCCTTCCAGATCTTGGCCATTGTAGGTAACGCGGCAGTGAACACAGGGGTGCACGTCCCCTTTTGAATCAGTGTTTGGGTTCCTTCGAATATATTCCCAGAAGTGGAATCACTGTATCAAAAAGCAGTTCCATTTTTAATTTCTTGAGGTACCTCCACACTGCTTTCCACAGTGGCTGTACCAGTCTGTGTTCCCACCAACAGTGCATGAGGGTCCCCTTTCCCGACACCCTCAGCAGCACTTGTCGTTTGTGGACTGACTGATGACGGCCGTTCTGACAGGTGTGAGGTGGCATCTCGCTGTGGTTTTCATCTGCATCTCTCGGATGGTTAGTGATGCTGAGCATCTTTTCACATCTATTGGCATTTGTCTGTCCTCCTTGGAGAAGGGTCTGCTCAGGTCTTCTGCTCATTTTCTAATGGGATTGGTTTTTTTTTTTTTTTGGTGTTGAGTTTTGTAAGCTCTCTATAAATTTTGGATATTGGTCCCTTTTATGATATATCATTGGTGAATATGTCCTCCCACACAGTGAGATTGTCTTTTTTTTCATTTTGCTGAAGATTTCCTTTGCTGTGCAAAAGCTTTTAATTTGATGCAGTCCCACTTGTTTTTTTCCTTTTGTTTCTCTCGCCCAACAAGATACATTAGAGAAAAAGTACTGCTGAGAGAAATGTCAGTGACTTTACTGGTAGGTTTCCTTCTACGATTTTTATGGTTTCGAGTCTCACATTTGAGTCTCTAACCCATTTAGGGTTTATTCTCATATGCAATGTAGCAGGTCATTGACGTGTGACAAATCAGTGAAACAAATGACAGACTGGAAATGGCATCTGAACGGACAAAATGACTTTGCTGCTGACCGCTGGGACTCTCCCTGCCAGGAAACGTGCTTGCTGGTGGCAGTGACCTTGAGAGCTCTCCGCAACCTGCCCTGCTGGCCGACACCGCATTTTCTGTCACGACCAGGGCCGGACACCAGGGCTCACTGCCTGGTCCCCGGCCCGGGGTCGAAGACGGGGCGTGTGGACCCTGGTTGTGAGACGTGTCGATGGGGAAGGTGCGGTGAGGGGGAGGCTGGAGGACGCCCCGAGAAGGCCCCAGTGACAACGCCCGGCGAGCGGCCGGCCACGGTGACCATGGTGGCCCCTGGGGACCATGGTGGCGAGGACAGGGACGGCGCCTGCCTTCGTGGGGCTCCTGGCCCCTCGTCTACAGAACATGGGCATTAGCTGGTCACTGGGACCCTCTTGGTTCGCTGTCCTGTCCTGCTGCCATGTTGACACACCGTGTCCCCACACCATGTCCCCTTTCCCGCTCCCGGCTCTCAGCCCGGATCGAGGCTGGCCTTGCTCCAGGCTGGACGGGACTGAGGACAAAGGAAAGAAGCGTCCAGGCCAGAGAGAAGTTTTGTGAGTTTACTTGGGTCAAACCGACAACAATCGCCAGGAAGCACAAGCTCAGCCGGCTGAGGAAACGCTCCGGAGCGCGGCAGGTGCGGCAGCTCGTTCCCCACGAGAGGCTGGGGGGGGAGGCGAGGGGGCCACGGGAGCCCGTGGGTGGCAGACGAAGGGGGCGGAGAGAGCAAAGCGGGGAGAAATCTCCCAGGTGCATGAAAGGTACACAGAGAGGCACCCTCTTCCCTTACACGGTGGGGGCAGGGCCGTTAACACTCACCCACGGCTGCACGTGGGGCTGCTGCTGGGGAACGAGACACCCTGGGGCTCCGGGGCCTCCTGCTCGGGTGGAGGCTGGGCCCTGAGGGTCTGGGAGGGGCACCCCTCGGACGTCTCTGAGCTGTGTCCATGGGAAAAGGTGGCAGGCAGGCTCAGTGACAGTAAAGGCTGACATTTGTCAAGGAAGCCACTGGCCTTGGACATGACTCTCCCCCACGACCTGCCGCAGTCAGAACTTCTGGGTCCAGGCCGCCGTGCGCGGTGACTCCCATCTCCAAGTGGGTCAGGCCACCCTACAACACCGCCCCCCCCTCCCGGCCCCGAGCTCGTCAGCGTGAGAGTGTGGCTCCTTTTTAACCCACAGGACCAACCAGTCTGGTAACAAGGAGTGAGAGCAGGCGCCCCGGGGGAGCCGAGACCGGAGGGCTGGCGAGGGACTTCCAGCACCTGGTCCGACGATCACTCAGGGCCCCGCAGCAGGGGCTCGAAAGCAGGCGTCCTGGCTGGGACCGGGGAAGGACGGCGGGCCCGAGAGCAGCGTGACCCAGGGGCCCCGGGCTCCGGGACAGCTGGCCCGCCTCCGCTGAATGCTCCCAGGCTCCCAGAGGTGCTCGTCTCGGGGTCTCAGGGTCTCGGCTTCTATTCCAAGGCCCCAAAGGCCTTCAAGCCTTTTCTGCTTGTTTGTGCTTTGGGGGCTGACATGACCGTGCAGCCAGTGGGGGGCGTTTTCAGGAGAGCAGGCTGGTCTGCACCCTGGACTGTGTCGTCCTGCGAACCAGGACACGGGCTTCCAAACAGCCTGGAACTTTTAAAGCTGCGCAATCATGGAATGGAATTATTATTTGTGAATGACTTGGCTTAATGTTAACTGACCCAGATCGGCACTGAACCCATGACCCTGCCCCGACTCAGCACACGGTTTCCCCGCGTGTTCTGTGCGTGGTCCAAGCGTGTGGTGAACACGGGGAATGCACGCCGGTGAGGAGGCAGGCGTGGCAGGGTGGCGGGACGCGCGAGAACACCAATCCACGCAGGAGCTCCATCCGAAGGCCCTCAGGCGCAGTAGCGGTCAGCGCCCCCTGAGCCCAGGAAGAGGGCTCGCGTGTGCAGGACCGGGGGTGGGGCGTGCACCGCGATGGGGCAGACGGGGCGGCATTTCTAAAGCTGCGCGATCGGGGGCTGACACCGGTGCTCTTTCAGTGACTGGGTTTAGTGTCCCCGAGTCCCTGGCCCTGCGGCCCTTCCCCCGCACCCCGCAGAGCTGTGCACACGGAGGCCACCGGGACGGGGACCCCCCTGCGCTGCTCCACCCCAAACCGGCCACGGTGCCCGGTGCACAGACTGCGCTCGCAGGGCAGAGGGCAGGGTCCAGAAGGTGTTTTACGAGACATCCTTCCAAAACTTTACAGAATCTCTGAGTATTTGATGTAAGAACTTGTGTAACCTCACTGTTATCATCCTGCCTGGAAAGAGACTTTAATGCCGTCTTTTCCTCTAACAGCCGAAGGCGGAGAGAGCTACAGGCCGCTGTTCCGACAATATTCTTACCCGTGTGGACCGAAGTTGGTTTTAAGTAAGGTGCTTAATGTCTAACCCTATTAAAATCTGCAAGCACTGCTTGCCTAAGGCAGGCAGAATCTTAATTTAAATTTTAAGTGGAAAGTTAATTGTTTTGTAAATTAATCAGTAACAGGGCTTAGCCCCATTTGCCTGGGTAATTCCTTCTCCCTGCCGGGTTCACCCGACTCCACACCAGAACGTCCTCTCGGGGCCTCTCCCACCCGCCGTGTGCTGGGAAGGGCGTGTACACGGGTGTGTCACACACGTGTGGCCTTTGCCCTCATAAATGTCCACCGTCTCACGTGTCACACGGGACGTGGCCCCGTTTTAGGAAAGGGGGGGCGCCTTCCCTCCCTCGGTCCTGCAGAGGGGGCCCCTGAAAGCCACCTGGTGGGGAGCTTCAGCGCAGAGACGGCCCAGAGCTCCGGCTTTCGCAGCTACTCCCCGGTGGGCCCCCTGCAGTGGGGGTCGGGGGTCAGGGGTCAGAGCGTGGCCTTGGGGGTCTGAAGACCTGAGGCTCTGCACTGGAGCTTCCGGCCAGTTAGTCAACCTTCAGAAAGTCCCCGTTTCTCAGCCTCTAGAACTGTGAGAGGTGAATTTCTGGGGTTTAAACGGCTGGTCGACGGAGTTTCTAAAGCTGAGGAAGCCCCTGAACACTAACCGGACAGAGAGGAGTTCGCTTTTTGGCAGGGTTGTCGACTAGGAATCACAGCGAGGGGCAAACCAGGGGGGCAGCCTGCCAGCCAGCTCGTCTTCCAGGGCCCAGGACCAAAGGAGCAGCCGCTCAGCGGGCAGGACGGACAGGGGAGGAGTTCAAGGGCACAGAGCAACGCACAGAGGTGTTTTGGGAGCAACAAACCAAGAGATCTACTGATATGTCCCCTTGTTTCTCAGGACAAGATGGTCAGCCAAGGACAGCTAGTCAACAGTGAAAAATAATCTAAAATAAATACAGGTTGAAAACAGCCAACACAACAGGAAAAACATGCAAACACACACAAACAGACACTGGCAACTGCTTGACTGGCAGATGCAAATATTATCTCAAGTAGTGGGGAGAATTCTGGGAACGCAGACTAAACAGTGGGCGGCTCAGGACCCGTCACTGCAGGAGTGGGAACGGCAGACTGGGGGCCGCGGCAGGGACGCGGAGGGTTCCATGTGCAAGAGGGAGCGTGCCCCTGGGTCACGTGGTTGGCACGCCCGAGTCGAAGTGGTGGATTTAACTGTGAGACTCGAGTCATGCTCCTGGTGGTGCAGAAACAAGGGGGGCTCCCCCAGGAGAGACGGGGTCCCCGGGGGCAGGCTTCTCTTTCTTGGGTTCTTGGCCGTATTCGGTTTTTCCGCAGACGTGGCCGCCCCGACGGCAGAGCATCTGCGGCGGCTGCTCTGTGCTTCCAGCAGCGACAGGCAGGTCCACCTGCGTTTTGCTCAGGGGCCCCTCCTTCCTCCGGCAGATGGGGCCTCAAAGGCCAGCGTAGCGGACGCCTGGTGTGATCTGGCTCCATGGTTGTGGCCGCCTTGTCCTGCGATGATTTTGTTCAGAAATACGAGCCACTGGTGGAGACTCCGCAGAGGGTAACTCTGTAACCGCCTGCAGAGTTACGGTTGCCTGGGTCTGAAAGGAGCAGCAACCTGGGAGCCCGGGGCCACTTAGCGGCTGCGGCGAGGGAGACTACACACACTCTCCCTGCTTTTCCTCGTAAATCCAGGTGCAGATTCCAATAGGGTTTTTCTCTTATGTAATTTTTTTCTTATAAGTCAAGATGCAGATTCCAATACGGTTTTTTTTTCTTGCACTGTTTGTTTCTTTTTCTCATAAATTAAAGTTCAAATACCAGTAGACAGTTTTTCTGGCTCAACAGAAAACCGTGAGCTTGGTGCCATAAAGGAAAACCTCAGTGCCCGGCTGAGTGCCCGGTGCTCAGTGCCCGGCTTTGTCCTGCAGCCCCTCCTGTTCCCCGACTTGACCCCAGGACGCCTGCTTTAAACCCATGGACAGACGACATCGACCACCCGGATCCCACGCGCCCCTGGAGGCAGGAGGACTCCTTCGCTCCCCGCTTCCCTTTCACGCTGGCATTCTGACGAGCCCTAGAAAATTTCTCAGTACAACCATTTCAGAACTGCCCGTACTAGGTGCACCTGCCCGCGCCCCAAGGGCTCGCTCGGGGCATTTCAGGGTGCGTGTGCCAGCACTCGGAGGACGCCCACAGGCTCGCACGCACGGCCGTCTTCTTGGAAAACTGAGAAGCACAAAGAACGTTTCTGAGCGGGCCCAGCCGTTCCCAGCCTCTCTCGTCAGCTCAGACACAGCTGCCTTGCCCTCCCTCTTTTATTGGCCAAGAAAGTTGCCCCACCTGCTCTGTGAGTTTACCTGTCAAAGGGGCAGGGCCCTCAGCCAGCCGGCACTGGATTGAATCTAAGTAGAAGTAGTCAGGCAGCTCTCTTTGAAAACCACTGGGCTGGGAGTTCATTGCTGCAGGACCCTGTTCTCTCCTGGGACGCCTGGCTTGCGAGCGGACTCGCTGGCTCCGGAGCCCGGTCGGTGCGCACGGCCTGGAGGACAATGGCCCGCTCTGCCCTGCAGTACGCCGGGCTGGCCCTGGGCGGCGTCGGCCTGGTGGGCACGGTGGCTGTCACCATAATGCCTCAGTGGAAAGTGTCTGCCTTCATTGGGGGCAACCTGGTGGTGTTTGAGAACCTGTGGGAGGGGCTGTGGATGAGCTGCAAGAGCCAGGCCACCTTCCGGCTGCAGTGCAAGGTCTACGACTCGCTGCTGGCCCTGCCCCCCGACCTGCAGGCGGCCAGGGGGCTCATGTGCGCGGCGGCCGTGCTGTCCGTCCTGGGCTTCGCCATGGCCGTCCTCGGCATGAAGTGCACCAAGTGCACCGGGGATGATGACAGGGCCAAGAGCCCCGTCCTGCTGGCGGCTGGAGTCATGTTCGCCATCGCGGGCCTGGTGGTGCTCACGCCCGTGAGCTGGGTCGCCAGCTCCATCATCAGGGACTTCTACAACCCGACCCTGGACGACGGCCGGAAGCGCGAGCTGGGGGAGGCCCTCTACCTGGGCTGGGCCGCGGCGCTGGCGCTGGTGGCTGCGGGGGCTCTCTTGTGCTGCGTCTCTTACGCCCGTGGAGAGAGCAGGGCCTACAGGTACTCCCTGCCGCCCCACCGCGCGACCCCCAAAAGCCATCCCACGGAGAAGAAGCCCCTGAGCGTCTACTCCAGAAGCCAGTACGTGTAGGAGTGTGCCAGCTCGTCCTCGGCCTGGCGAGCCACACGCCGGACCCGAACGCCCACCGCTGTCTGGGAGAGGGGCCTGCGGGGCCGTGGGCTCCCTGCTCACGGGAGGCCCGCCGTGGCGTGGGTTCCCACGGCTCCCGCAGGACGAAAGGCACACTGTGTGCTTTGTCTGCAGTGATCTGTTTTCTTAAGTGGTTTGTCTGCCTCTTCTCTTTCATCAGTGTCTTTAAAATGAAGTTGCTAGAGACCTACCACTTCAGAGCTGGGATTTCTCTGGGACGTAGCATTATGTATGCAGCAGGGAGCGTACCTGCCACACACAGGGAGAGGCTTATCTGGTTCTATTTTAAATAACACGCTGATCCATTAACACTGCATAAACAGAATTCCAGCCCTGCTTTCCAGGGACTCGGGGATGAGACTGAAGACTGTTAATATTAATTGTTTAAAAACAGCTTAACAAGGGATGCCTTGGGTGTCTAATGAAGGTTTAAGAAAGTCTCTAATCAGCAAGATAAAGGACACGGAAAAGCTCTGTGACAATCAGTTTCCCGGCCCCCTCCCACTCTGCCCAAGGCCTCGGTGCTCAGGCTGCACTGGCATCTTTGCCAGGAGGTCTGCATTCGACCCCGAGCTGTGCCGGGAGGACGATGGACCTGTGATCTGAGAAACGCTGGAGGCCTCAGGACAGTGAAATTCTTTGCCTGTTAAATTTGGGGGCTTGGCAGGGAGGTGTTTGGGTAAGAAATCATATATGTGTATGAATATTGGAATAACTGCTTGAATACAGACTTTGGGTTTTTATCAATATGGATAAGAGGACAGAAAAATAAAATGTCTTCGTTTTATTTGCTTACCAAAAACAAACAAACCAAAGCCCAAACCGCAAGTTCTTCTTTCTGAGCTCTGTCTTCCCCTTTGTGAATTCTTCAGCCGGAAAGGTCATTTTGTCTGCCAGGGTGATTTCTGTGCTTATTCCGTGTTGGTTATGTGTTACTGGGGCATAGAAACACCGTATTCCAGTGTTTTGCCCAAATTTGATGCCACTGACCATCTAACTGGAAAGCCTGGGCTCCGTTTTTGTGGCTTAAGTGATTCTGTGCCATTTGCTCTATTTCTTTTGTATTAATTTGGCTTATATAAATTTTTCACTACTCCCTTTTTTCTGTTTTATTAAACTAATGATTTTTTGAAAACCTGATGTTGTGGGTCTCTACCTTTAAATAGAATATCAAGGTCATGTTTTAAAGATAAAGGTAGGTTCAGCATTAATTTTTGAGAATATACAATGATACATTCACCTCATAATCAAGGCATTCATACACTAGTATGTGATAAGTGTGACACACTTGTAACTTCCTCAGATGGTGCTTGGGTCCCGGCAAACCCGTGCACCACAGGTGACGGGAGGCGTGTAACGGCCGCCCACGGCCAGTGCCCGTGCTGAACACACACGCTTCTGCCTCGAGAGGCAGCACGTTCATGAGAAGCCGGGTCCGTGCCTGAGGCTGAGGGTCACAGTCAAGACCTTCCTTCTCTGTGTGAATCACACCACTAAACACTTTATGAGATTTATATGATGAGTTCAGTTTGCAGATGAGAGGACCTTGGAACAGTTCTTTGTTCCAAGACACACCAAACCAGTAAGAAGTTTTATGAGTTTACTTGGGTCAAACCGACAACAATCACCAGGAAGCACAGGCTCAGCCGGCTGAGGAAACGCTCCGGAGCGCGGCAGGTGCGGCAGCTCGTTCCCCACGGGAGGCTGGGGGGGGAGGTGAGGGGGCCACGGGAGCCCGTGGGAGGCAGACGAAGGGGGCGGGGAGAGCAAAGCGGGGAGAAATCTCCCAGGTGCATGAAAGGTACACAGAGAGGCACCCTCTTCCCTTACACGGTGGGGGCAGGGCCGTTAACACTCGCCCACGGCTGCACGTGGGGCTGGTGCTGGGGAACAAGACACCTGGGGCTCCGGGGCCTCCTGCTCGGGTGGAGGCTGGGCCCTGAGGGTCTGGGAGGGGCACCCCTCGGACGTCTCTGAGCTGTGTTGGCTTAGATGCAAAAGGGCAGCAGGCAGGCTCAGTGGAGGTGAAGGCTGACCTACGTCAGGGGAAGCTACGGCCTCGGACGTGACGCCCCCCACGGCCCCGCACGGCACGGGTGCCAGCCAGCCAGCCTCGTCAGTGCATGGTCAGCGCGACGACCATCACAAACCAACAGAACAGTGCCAAAGGTCTCCATCACCATCCCTCCAGAGGAACACTGAGACCAGACTGCCCTGTGCGGTGACTCTCTGTCCCCAAGTGTTCAGGGCCGCCCTGCGTGGCCTCGCCCCTGACCCCGAGTGTTCAGGGTCAGGGTTGGGGGGGCCCTTTTTTGTTCACGACTGATCACCCAACGGTCAGGGGGAAAAGTAAGGGTTGTCTGACCTTACAGCTCACATTCCTTCTCTTCAGAAAAGTAGGTTTTCTTCAACAGGGTATAGTTTATAAACTGAACTTTGTACGTAAAGCACACAGGCCCAGCTGCTGTTGGTTGGGGCCATTTCCGTGTTTTTCTGGGACTGGTGGTTTTTCTCAGCGCCAAGGGCCCATCTGTCCCAGGCAGTTTTGCTCTCGGGTCGAATCATTCATGAGAACAGAGAGAGAACCACCGGGCACCTGGAGGAAGCAGCTCGGCTCAGTGCTGGTCTTGAACCAGACGCGATTTTCGCTGGTGAAGCTTTTCTGAACGCCCCCAACGCAGCTTAGTGCTCCCTCCCCTTCCCCCACAGACAGAACCCTGCCACTGCCAGTCCCCCGGGCGGAATCCACTCCTGCGTGTCCCAGGAGTCCTGTTCCAACCGTCCACGCTCACTGCCCTCTGCTTTCTTCTCCCATTGCGGAAATGCCCCAGCAGCTGCCCCAGCCCTTCCCCCCACAGCCCCCTCCAAACCCCGTCTCCGTTCTTCACACCGTGGGTGCCACGCTGTCACTCCCGCCTGCGTGTCTCCGAGGGAAGCTCGGACGCCCTGGCCGGCCTCGTCAGTGCAGGGTCAGCACGATGACCGTCACACAGTTGACCTCCAGACACGAGAAGCGGACAAAGGTCTCCGCCAGCAGCCCTCCAGAGGAGGACTGGGACTGAGAAGTGGTTTGACTGGTGGCCGGCGGTGTGGTTGGGCATTTTCCAGTGTGGCTTTACAGCGTAGACTTGGGGGGACATGTGACGGGGTGGAAGGACCCGGGGGCAGAGGGCGGGGCTCACCCTCACTGACCTCTGTCGCCTCCCCCTTCGGCTGCACCTCCCGCCGTCGCTGCCTCAACAACCCGCTGCCGACGCCCCGGCCAGGATGACGCCCCCACGCATGTCACTCCACGTACGACGGGTTCCGGGGACGGAGAAGGAGATCGGCACGGCGTCTGCTTCCGAGGGCTTACAGTGCGACAGGAGGAGAGGCACGTGGGCCTCGGGGCCGGGAGTGGCCCTGTGAAACCCAAACTCCTTCGGACTTTAAGTTTAGCGTGAACCCTGAGCTCCAGGAACTACATCTCTGTCTCTAACCCACACCCGTGGCAGACCCAGCCGCCCCCAAGGCTGCACAGGACGGCGGCCCAGACCCGCCCCGCCCGTGGTCACGGGGTCGGGGCCTCTGCGGACGAAAGAGAAGACCTGGACCCACCGGATGTGCCGGCTCCTGAGTCCTAAGGTGGAAGGACCACCCCACTCTCCCATGAGACCAGACAGAGGGACACGGGGACAGACCTCAGAGCTGTCCTCCACACCAGGAGAGATGGCTTGTCACCCTGACCTCACCTGTGACCGATCGGCTTCCAGCAGGACCCTGAACCCCTAACCCCCAGTGCCTTGCGACTTTGCCCTGTGTAACCCGTGATGTACACGCCGCTGTGGGGTTGGGGACTCGGAGCATCCGCCCCCCATTCTCCTGGCGGGATCCGTTCCTGACGGAACAGCCCTCCCTTCGCCGCTGCAGTTCTTGGCCTCTGGCGTCCGGCTCCGCCGGCACAGGGCACAGGGCTCTTTCCGGTTGGCAGCGCCCACCCGAGCCACCTCTCGGAACAGCGGACGGCACGCTGCCACCCCGACCCCCAAGGCTCCCGTGCGACTCCCGGTCACAGGCCCTCCCCCGGCCCTGGAGTCAGCCGCGTCACCAGCCTCAGCATCACGTTGAGGCCCCCTCCCTCCACACCCCCCAACCTCTGCACAGCTGACTGCTTTCTAGTCCCTGAGGCCACTGGTTCAAAAGGCCAATATTCCAACCCCCGAGTCTGGAGTGGGAGGAGGTTTATCGGTTGATAAGGTCGCCCCTGGAGGAGACCGGAACCTAGGGCTTCCTCAAACCCACCTCCAAAGAGCCCGGACTCAGGCTTCTTCAGGTCAGAGGGAGGGACAGTGGGCGGGGCAAGAGGTGATTGACATGTAGGTGCCAACAGGGCTCCCAGGATGAGGGTAAAATCACTAAAACTCTTGGTTCTGGGTCCATTGGCCCCTGCAGACCTGGGTCGGTCCTGAGACTTCGGAGAATCTTTGACCAACCATCCTTATTTTGGTACATATTTCCCACCGCCCCAGGAGAGGCGCCTTCAGGCGAGGGGCTTTCCTCCAAAAACTCCCCTACAGGTGGACCCTCTACAACAACCGGCACCGGCACTTCTGCAGCAAGAGCTATCGCCCGGAGGCCGTGGGGGGTGCTGGCTGGGACTAATGACAAGAGAGAGCCCGAGAGAGGAGCATTTCACCCTGCTTCGCTGCCGTGCACTACCGCGTCCTCCGAGTGGACTGCAGGTTTTCTTCTCCCGTCACAGGTCACAGGCCTCCTCTCTGGAATTCACCAGGTCCTTCCTGGTTCAGGGCAGGTGTCCGGGTGCTGCAGCCCCTCCCCCGGCGCTGAGGCCAGCAGGGCCCCAAGCAGGGCCCCAAGCAGGGCCCCACGCAGGCCCGCAGCTGGGGCCCAGCCAATGCACGGCCTGCAGGCTTTCTGCTACATTGCAGGTTCTGCCAGATTCCAGGAGGAAAGAACAGCTCCCGGCCAAGTGAGCTGGGCTCCCAGAGTCACAGGAGACCCGGGTTCCTGGAGCAGAGGCCTCCGGCTGGGCCTGAAGCACTGTGGGGGGCAGGGCTGGGGGCAAATAGGGGGCCCGCCTGCTTCACAGGCAGCCCTGGGGGGAAGGAGACATTGTGCACCTCTGTAGATTTAGGGGGATAGGTCCAGGGCTGGGGAATCTGAGGACTGTTGCAGAGGTTGGAGTCCCCTTGGCCTGGGGCCTCCGGGAGCCCCGGGACTGAGTGTGAGGGTCCCCGGAGCTGGGGCTGCACAGGCACTCCCCGCAACCCCGGGGGGGAGCAGCTTTCTGACCAGTTGTGGCAGGTCACAGCCAGCAGGGAGGAGTCCTGCCGCCCTGGGGCCGGCTGTCACTCAGCACAAGGACTCGACCTGCACTGGGAGAGATCTGAGACTCACGTGAGAGAGAAGCCACACGGGACCAACAGGCAGAAAAAGCCAGTGCAAGCCGAACCCCGCACCCGTGGGCCCCGGGGGCAGCCGGTCTCCTGGGAAACCGAGGGCGTCCGCACAAACCAGCCACAGTGAGAGCCGGAAGCAGAGCAAATCCCAGACCTGTAGTGACAGGGTTTGCACTTGAAAAAGTCAGCGGGGGTCTGAGAACACAGGGAGGTCGCTGCTGACGTGGAAATGGGACCTTCCGAAGGTCAAGTGGAAGAAAAGCTCAGAACACAGAGCAAACACAGAAAGAGAGGTGATTCGCGTGGAAAAATACGAAAGCCTTGGAGGTAAATTCAAGGACCGAGGAGGCCAATTCAGAGAGATCGACGGATGGGGGAGGGGCCACCACTCAAAAATAAAACTCAGTCTCCCAGATACAAGGGCTGGTGGAGGTCCGGGAAAAGTTGAAATAAACGTTTGCAAAGTTAAAGTTAGAGTTAAACTTCAGGCACAGAATAAAATCACATTTTACCACCAATCACAACAAATTACTTAAAAACAAACAAAAAAAATCTGTCTTCCGTCAAATACGTTAAACCACAAACCTGGAAGCTGGGTCAGGCCAGTGAGAGGACCAAGTCCCTCACCAACAAATCCACCCCTGGAAAAATTCCACTCCCTGTTGGGGAGAAAGAGAGGACTTTTGAGAGAGAGAAAGAGAGGAAGGAAGGAGAAG